GGCCAACCGCAAACCCTAAACCCTGAACCCTAAGCCCTAAACCCCCTAAACCCTAAACCCTGAACCCTAAGCCCTAAACCCCCTAAACCCTAAACCCTGAACCCTAAACTCCTAAACCCTAAACCCTGGTTAAGGCAAAGCTGAGGTCACGTCTTGTCTGCTCCGAAGACCGGCCTTCGCCCTGCGCGACACAGACATCGCGCTGCTTGCTTTTGCTTTAGGGCTTAGGGTTTAGGGATTTAGGGGTTTAGGGCTTTAGGGCTTAGGGTTTAGGGATTTAGGGGTTTAGGGTTAGGGTTTAGGTTTAGGCTTAATTATATGGCCTAGGGTTTCGGGTTTCGGGTTACTTCAGGGCTCGACATAGGGGTCTGAATTTGAATCGTATTCCCATGAGTTCCGTAACGTGTTTATAAATGCGCTTGGGTGCCCCAACACTTTTATATTGATGCAGCCCCGCAAAACCCTAGACTGATTGTTCAGGTCCCTTCTTAGGCTGCTGCGTTGCTGCTCAGGATGTTGCGTACTATCGTCTCTCTGGCGGCGCTTTAAGATTATAGCATTTATCGTTTGCGCTTGTGACTTCGGGGTTTGAGAAACTGGATTTAGACTGTATTTTGACATTGAGTTCCGAGCTGTCATAAGTTGGGATTTGCACATCGCCATTCAGGGTGTGGTACTCATACCAGCAGAACAGACATTACAGCAACAAAGCAGAGAGTCAGAGGCTATGCCTGATGTGATTGCGGCATGTCATGTACTTTGAAGTAGTCCTGCATATAGATTTGAGGTAGTATACGGGCCTCAATAATTAGACTAGGGTTTTGGGGTTCCTTATTATAGGTGTAGTATAATATACTTTAAAACCCTATTCTAATCATTAAGGCCCGTACATTAGTCCTGCACATAGACTCTTTCCAGGATGCCAGGGCTCGGGTAGTTGCCGAAACTTAGGTCGCGGTAGGATCCCCGAATCAGGATGCAAATCTTTCAGTAGTGACTCACTTTGAGAAACCCAATTCTCCCGACCCTCAATCTGAACCCCCGTAATTGGACTCTTTGGTTCAGAGGTCGTGCGACTGTAATGGTTTCGGCATTGAACTTGAGCACCTTGAAGTCTCCTAAGCCCTAGGTGAAGCGAAACCTGGAAAGTTGAGAGCCTAAAGTGTATTACTTTAATATACTTAACCCCAGCCATGCAAGTATCCAGTCCCAACACCCGAGACTTCTGAGACCTGCAGCCCCCCACTTCTTCTGCCAAAGGCCCGAATACCTGCGGCACCTGACCGCACCTTGGACGGAGAGTGCCAACATGCTGGCATGGAGACTTGGCTTTTCTCGGATTGGCGTGTTACCGGTAGTACCAACTACCGCTGCTGCTGCAGCTTCTCTACATCTGCTTCAGCTGCTGCTCCTTCTCGTGTTGCTGCTGTGAGACGGAGATTCCGGCATGGGCTGTGTGACGATTGGCCCTGGGCATAGGACCCGAGGCGATTTCTGAAGAACAGTACAATCACCTGACGGAGGGATGCGGCTCGCCCCCGGTGTTTGCTAGGGTCTTCTTTGTGCAGCAAAGGCCTGTTCACACCGTGCCTTAAAACGCTGCCTGAACCTCTAAGCTTTGAGGAGAGATCTCACTACTGTACTCCGACCCCTCGACCCTAACACCCCTCAGCCCCAAACCATCCCAAACCCTTTAGCAGATGGACAGCAAGCCGTGCCGAACAAAAGCCGCTAGAGAGTTCTTATACATCCCCGATACAACCCTGCTAGAACCCTTGCAGTTCAACATCTTCACGGACCCTTAACGACAACCTTAACCCGGCCACCCGAGGATGCCCATCCTCGATGCGGAGACCTTGCCTCTGAACCCACTGGATGCAATGCAGCGCGGGAAGTACAACAAGGCCAACTTCCTTCAGCTGCCAACTCGAAGCACGAAATAAAAACGCGCATTACGCTTGAATGGTTTTGGGTTTAGGGTTTAGGGTTTAGGGAATGGGTGGTCCGAAGGTGCCCACGATTCTGAGCTCGGTGACCAACGAGACCTTGGCCTTCGTTCCCACGGAGCTGATGAGGTATCCGGGGGTTTAGGGCTAAGGGTTTAGGGTTAGGGTTTTGATAGGGTTTTGGGTTTTGTATGCAGAGTTGCAGGATTTGCGCTTCATAGTCGAGATTCTGAAGTTGTTCCAACGTTTCTGTGAACCGGGCTGTGAGTTGCAGCGTACTTCCAGACTGTGTTCCATGCATCTTGTGACAACAATAGAGCAGACTTGAGCAAGCCCTGGCCTTGCATGATGGTGATTAGCGACGCTTGAGGGTTTGTTCAGTACACAGCCCTGCTTCGGCGTCCAAGCAACCGTGAGGCACTGCGAACTTGGACGCTATTCCACACGAGGCGAAGTTGTGTCGCATCCGGCAGGCTTGGCAACAATTGGCCATCTTACCATGAGACGCTGCGGATCGTCTTCCGCGAGCGGGCCGACAAGGTGATGGGCAACATAGCTAGTAAACATGATATTTCAACTGCACATTAAGTTGTGTACCCACTTTCAGTTGTATGTCATTGCCGAGCGCATGTTGCGCAGCTTTGTGTCAAGGCCGTGGCGAAGTAATTCAAACTGAGATGCAGATGAGAGCACCTCACCTTCAGGCCCTTACAACCGAACAAGCAGTCTGCAATGAGCATCCTTCCTAGTAGCGAAAGTCACAAACCATAAACGAGTTTGCGTACTGTACCTCAAACATCAATGCTTTAGAGCTTAAACTCCTTAAATCTATAACCAAACCCCCAACCCCCAACCCCTAACATCCTTGAACCGTCAAGGTGGCGGCGCACTATGCGGCTTCACCAGACAGCTCAGCCCTGCCCCCGGCGCGACGTGCTGCAGTGGTGACCACTGCGCCTGGGGAAAAACGGAAGGCGAAAGGATTGAAGGTTTAGGTTTAAGCTTTCGGGTTTAAGGTAGGTAGGATCGCAGATGTGGAGGGAATTTGAGTTTAACAGATTGCACAAGTTTTATTGCGGGCTTGGTGTTTGGTTTAGAAGGGTTTTGCAAAATCTAAGGTTTCGTGCCCAGAGAGCAAGGTTTTGTACGGTAGTGACAGGGCTGTGGAGCCTTTCCAATATACTGGCCATGTTGAAGGTCGCAGTCGCTTGCAACTTGATGGTACTTCCCTGTCAGGAACTAACTGGAGTCTTGTGCCTACAGCCCTTTCCACTTTATTCCAGGCCCTCATCCCGAGAATTAGCCAGTAAGCAGGTCTGAGCAAGGGTTGACTGTGGTGTAACCACCCCTCGATGGCACTCTTTCTGAACCGCTTGCCTAACCCCTGATCCTTTTAAGCAGCCACCAAAACCCGAAGCACTCTGCACATTCAACAAAACCCAACAGAACCCAGGATGCACTGATGACCTGCTACGTCCGCTACGCCGCGAGGGCGCTGGCGGCTCAGGGCGAAACGTACCTGCGGCTCGGCTGGATGCAGTTCCACTACAGATCCGATATAGGTTCTACAAGAGTCCTACAAGAGTATATAGTATAAGCGTGGGGGGTCGCTTTTGGATTCAGGATGTCGGATTGCGGATTTGGGGGGGGTTTTGTGGCTCCGGGCCCGGGCTGAGCGTCTTGAGCTGAGGGCCTCGGTTTAGGGTTTAGGGTTTAGGGTTTAGGGTTTAGGGTTGCCTGGAGCTTAGAAGGTCTTTTGGGTTTTGTGGTTTAGGGATCAGGGTCCGGGAATAATGTGGCTTTGCCGGATGAAGTTGAGGTTGATGGGTTGGATGTAGGGGTGAGATTCAAGTTAATCAAGCGGGTGTTTGGCCCTCCTTCAGGCAACGGTCCGATGCAAAGCAGGAAGGTAAACTAGATGGTTTCAGAATGGGTCACGACCCTTATATAGAGGTTTATGAATATAAGTATAAGCTTGAATGTCCTGGTGCTTCCGGTGAATCCCTACCGGGCTTTTCTGCGACGACACCAGCAACAAGAGCGTCTGGAGCCGACTGAGGGATGATTTGCACTGCTGCGGGTGCCTGCTTTCTTTCTTGTCGTGGTGGACCATAAATTTTCTCGATCTCCTTGACTAGAGGCATTCGTCGGGAGAGGGGAGAGTGGAGCTCAGCAGAAAGAGGTTCATAAAAGCACAGCACCCAGGTCTACATTCATGTTGCAGCCCCACAGCAGCCAGATGCAATTGAACTCGCCCCCCGGCACTGCTTGTTGATTTGGGTTTGGGGTTTGGGGTTTAGGATGTAGGACGTAGGATTTTAGGGTGTAGGGGATTTCTGTCCTTGCGCCGGATGCTTGACGGTTGGTGTGCGGGATTCGGGTTGCACTTAACGGCTTCGGCTGGCACCCTGTTCGAAGGGATTCGAAGGGTAGCTTGCAGTACTTCTCTCACGAGACCCATCGCGGAAGGTCCGAGACTAATCTGGAAGGTCCGTCTAAGCTGTCTCAAGCCCAGAATAAGGCCCCCTTAGAGGAACGATGAAATGAACCCATGGGGCATTTTCAAGTCGAAACGCAGTGATGGCAGACCCGAGTTCTTTCAGCTTTTTGTCTCATTAAGGAGCCTGAGTGCTTCAAGCGTTGAGGGCTAGTTATGGCTCAGCCTTAGCAGTAGCAACAACACCGGCGAAAGCAACGGCAACACTGGCGGTAGAAAAGAAGAGCTACACCCAAAACCCCTAAACCCTAAACTCCTAAACCCTAAGCCCCAAACTCCTAAACCCTAAACCCTAAACTCCTAAACCCTAAAGAGGCTTTGTGTCGAGGGGCCGCCAGCAGGAGCCTCGTGTCACGCGGTCTCCTGGTTGCTTTTGGAAAGTTCTCTGTAATCAGCCCTGAAACTTCGAAAGAGGCCTTGCCTTGTCGTGTTTATGCAATGCGACGAAACCCTAAACCCGAGACCCCCAAGAGGAAGGGATTTGAAGCCTCGGCTCGGGGTTGTGGATTTGAGGGCCGGCTGGAGGTTTGGTTCGACCAAAAACTTGGATTGAGCATTGTGAAGACACATTCCCAATAAACCGCGAGATATCAAGCCCTAATCTGAGGCCTCCCCTGCGGCCTTCTTGTCTTTAAGACGTTGCATGACGTTGCTTCACGCTGCATCGAAGGCCGACGTACTCTATCAGATCCCAACTTCGCCACGCATGACCCAACGCGACTCCACTGAATCCAGTGCATTGCTGGAGGTCTTTCCTCAGAAGCATCGTCGTTCTGTTCAGTTTCCCGAGTAGAGGTTGCACAGTAGCATTAGCAGTGGCCATAGGAGTAGTAGGAGTAGGAGTGGGAGCAGGACCGAATAGGAGCAGCAGAAGGAGGAGTAGGACTAGGACTAGGACTAGGAGCAGGAGTAGGAGCAGCAGAAGTAGTAGTGGTCGTCGTCGTCGCAGAAGTAGTAGCAGCTGCAGCAGCAGTAGCAGTGGTGTTGTCGTCGCCGTTTTGTGGTTGCTGTCGTGGTCCCTGCTTGACTCGCCGACGTCCTCATGGGGGATGGTTGTTGAATGTTGTGACATTTTAGCTTCAAGTGTCAAGGCACCAAGCTGTTCTATGCCACCGATGCGGAGTCGAAGCTGGCACGCCTCTTGGGCAGAAGAAGCTGTCAAACCATTCCAGGAGGTTTCGTAAGCAGTAGGACTGTATCTTACTGCAGGTAAAGCTTGAAGTTCGGGTCTTCGAATGAGTTTCAGAGTATCAGGATTCAGAGAAGTCAAAAACGGGCACGCAGCCACGAAAAGTCAACGGTTCATCTCAGCTTATCGATATTCCAGCGAAGCCATTCTCAAAGCTCTGGGTATCTATGAATCACTTTCAGCTCCGAGGTCGTTCCAACGAGATGTTTAAGAAGAGTAGCTTCTAGAAGCCAGCTTGTCGCGTCTAGCACCACTTCCACAGCTTGTGAATGGGAAGTTGTTGAGGCATGGGCTCCTAAACCCTAAGCGGTTTAGGGTTTAGGGTTTAGGCTAAGACCTCAAACCCTAAACCCTAAGTTGAGCAGACAAGGACACTACACGCGCGCCATCATCCAGTTCGCGTCGGGAAGGCAGTCGGACTTCGTGCAGTACAATGCCACCGAGGCCCTGATCCCCCGTAAACCCTAAACCCTATTGAAGGTTGGTTTTGGGTCTAAGCCCGAATGCTCCATCATGCTGGAGGCGATACAGTCGATACCGAGAGTCAAGGGCACAAACTACATGGGGCAAGGCCCGAACCCTGACAGTATTGTAGACAAATCATCCGGCCCTTGGGGTACCTCAATAGACTCGAATCGAAGACTACCGAAAATCTCTTGATTTGAAATTTAGGCTTGGTAGGACTCCGGGGACATATGGGTGGAGACCCCCTGTCGTTTTTGCCTTCACGGTCCTCCAGCTGGGCTTTTCGGTTCGAGACCCGAAATTCCCACAGATCTGGGGGCCTCCAAATGAGATCCAAATAAGGGTTGCTCGCGAAACGGCGGTGGAGAGGTAGGCCTCGAGTAGGACAGCCTGAGCGCAGTATTCTACTATAACTATTATAAGGAGCCCCCAAAACCCTATTCTAATTATTAAGGCTCCTACATTAGGAGAGCTTGAGCGCAGTTGATCAGCCCTTCGCCCTCTCAAAGCTCTTAACGGAAGCATATCTCGAGCTGCACGCAGGATGTAAGCAGTCGATGGAGCATCACTGGGAAGTCAACGCTGCAGAGATACCACGATTCTTGGCATGAGCAGGTGGGTAGTTCTCCAAGTCTAAATTTCTGGTACCCAAACCCTAAACCCTAAAACCTGAACCCTAAACCCCTCAACCTTAAACCCTAATTAAATTAATCAGCCTAAGAGGGACCTAACGTGGAGCTCCCTGGGTGCAGGCCTATGCTTCTTCCTCCTAGTTTGCATGAAGCTCCCCGTTCCCTTCAGCACTGAAACCTAAGCCTTTGAGTGTTCATGGGTTTAAGGTGTAGGTGATTTTCATATCCTAGGCACTCACTCCGAAACTGAGGATCATCATTGCAACTTCTGGGAAGATGTGGGTTATGCTGCGGACGTTTGGAGAGGGGACAATGGCACCACGCACATTCCGCAGTTCGTCGTTTGAGCCCACGAAAAAGATACCATCGATCGGTCGCTTCACTTCGGCGCTTGTGAGTCGACTAGGGGCTTTGGGTTTAGGGTTTTCGGTTGATTCTTCATTTTTACTTTGCTCTGGAAGATGCGATATCACAAATTGGTAGTTCAGAGATTTCATCTCACTTTTTGCGTCGCAGAAGCATGAGCCGAATTCACCTGCTGTACTGCAGAAGTATAAGCAGAAATCTCATCTGGATAGAATAAATATCCAAAATCAATATATGATCATCATGTCGAAATTATAGGTTAGAGAAATAAAATATCTATTTCTGATTATGACTGATGTATGCTATTTAAAAATTTAAATATATGAGCATGAAATTTCTAATTCAGAATATACCTTTTTTTCAAATTAAAATATCCGATTGATATTTACTAATATTAAAATAGATTATATATCGATAAATTTACTATCATAATTTATTGAATTAGTGGAAGATTGATGATCGATACAAATCTATTTATAGTGTAGGAGTCTTTAATTATGAATATCGAATTTGAGATTTTCGCATAATATTAGATGAAAAAATAATAATCCGCCGGAAAAATAGGATAATCGAATTATTCTTTAAAGATATGATTCAAATTACGGTTGTAATCTTTCTATATCTATAGGTCTAGGAAGATTTCTTTATCTTTATATTTCTAAAAAGAAAATATGATTATAATAATTATTAATTCTTGGATCGGATACTTGGATCATATCGGAGAAATATTCATTTTTAATCTAATTCTTGGATAGATAATGATTTTTTTTTAATCTGAGGGATCTATTTCTTTTGAAAATGATATTTTTTTAGATATTATTGTAAGCAATTATGTTATTTATTAACGTGGTGGAAAGGATATTACTTAAAAATCTATTTTTAGAATTTATAATATGGTGAGGAATTATAATCCTCAAATTTCGGAGAAATTATTTTATTGATATTATTTAAATCTGATTTCATAATAGATTTCGGTAATATTATATTAAATATATTTCGTATATTCTAAAAATAATTTTTTCTCATTAGAAAATATAAGATTATCGTTTTTTTATTAATTATAGTATCTACTGATCTCTAGAATTATTTTTGATTTATATATATTGACTCTCATATTTTTATTTCTCTCTCGGGGCCGCTTCTCTAGCCACGTAATTCTGCCTCGCACTCGCGGACTGAGCTCCTGCATTTTGACGAGCTTTTGACTCGCCGACTATATTTCTTACTTGATGCGGACATTTGTCTATATTTGGCGCGCGCTTCAAGAAGTCCTGCTGATGCATCTTAATTTATCGTGGTTCGTATCTTTATATTATTCTTCTTGAATATCTGATTGCCCGCCTGGTATGATTTATGACCGATCTATGGGATTTTCTCTAATTCTAGTATTTTCGAACGGTCTTGCAGCCCTTCGATTATGAAGATTTCTGATTGTGCACCTTATCCTAGTCAATCTATCTTCGAATTCTGTTCGGTCTTTCCTCGTGCTCTCGCATGTCGTTCTACTTCAGGCAGTGCTCTGGTTGCTTCTGACTACTTGGCACCGATATCGAATTCTGATATGAGCTTTTCCCAATTAGGATTTAATAATTTAGACCCCGACCTTCCTCTTATAAGCCATATAGTCTTTGAGTCCCGCCTTTTCCATGACGTGCCTGAATAGATCGATGAGCTCGCGATTTATCCTGAATTCTAATAGATCTTCAGATATAATTTACTTCAATATGGATATATCTAAATTCTTCAGAGTCGGATCTATAAGATTTGATCAAATAATGATCTAAGTGCTATCCTCATAGCCGGCTTCTCGGGATAATAGATAATCAGATTCTTTTAGAGATTACTGCCAAGGACCATTCCCCCTCTGATATATTTTGAAGTCTAATTTGCCCTATGAGCTCGATTCCGATCTTTATCCTTGCGCTCTTTGTATCTATTCTGCCAAGAAAAGGTCCGACGAGCCGTCTCGTGGCAGGCCCCCATTTGCTCTTTCAAAGAGCTGATTTTCTTGGCTTAGGGAATTGGTTCTTGGGGATATTCGACTCAATAATTATATTTGTACTGCCGCCGCCATTCTATATCTTGGGCGAAGGATTCGACTATTTTTATCTGAATAGGGGTATTGAGAGCAAATTCCGCGGATTTCTATCGAGGAGGCTCCCGAGGGAGTCTCGAGTTATAATCTGATTTTATTCCTTCTACTCGTTTCAAGATATCGAAGATCATAATGATATCTTCGATTTGAATTTTGAGATTATTATATCATCTTCAGAAATGATTTCTCTTCATTTGCGGAGCTTTGATCTTTATCTTTATTCGACCGGTTCCTATTATATTTATTTATTTATTCGATTATTTCGATCCAAGATCTCTTCCCTGATTTTCGTAATTATTTGGTCCCCCCGCCTATAGATCGATCATAAATGCTGGGATCTCTGAATTTATTCTTGATTATTTGGAACAGGCTGATATGATTTATTCATGCTCATTGCTATTGATTTTCTTTATATATTGCGCCCGATTAAGATGATCTCCTTGATTCGATAAGATCTCATCTTTCTAGATGACGCACTATCCCTGGATCCTAATATATATATATGCACCTATATAATCCTCAAATCTAATGAATCATTCGGCCTCAATACGCCTATCTTGAAGATCTTTTCGTCTTTTAATTTTCTCTCTATATTATATTTTGGGCTTCTCTTGGGCGCCCGACTTTTGTATGATTCCATATATATTTGTCGCCGCCAGTGGAATAATATCCTGTCTAGGCTTGATATTCTGCATCAGTTGGTCGTTCGCGATTCTAGTTCCGGCGAGTGCCGGGACTCGGGAGCCTCCTTCTTTTATCTCGAGATGGAGGATATGCCTTTAGTCGTTCGGAGAAAATATTGGAATAAAATCAAAATTAATAAAGTCTATTTTTAAGAGATCCCAGCTCATCGTATAATTCATAGATTTCCCTCCTGATCTCATGAATATATATATATATATTAAGATTCGCGCTTATTATAATAATATCAAATAAGATGGAATTGGAATAAATCTCAGCAGGCCCTCATATATACCAGCCATCCCTTAAGCCTCCTTATAATTTAATTTTTTGGATCCCTTTCATTCTAAGATTCCAGCTTGAACATTCTCGTGGTCCTGCAAATTCAATTATATATCTTTATAAAACATCGATTCCGAGATTTCGCTTATATAGATGATAATTTGATTTTCTTATTATTAAATCTCCTTAAAATAATTTCGTGCGGATTTAGGCTAACTTTCATACTAGAGAAGATATTTCTATTTAAATTATTTTAGATCAAGCAGTGATTTATCTATTTTCTTTAGTTCTTTATCTTTCCCTAAAATAATTTCTGGTATTTTTCTTTTTATATAAGCACGCTAGATTAAAAAATCCCAAAAAAGTGGGGGAGATGAGGGGGTCCCAGCCCCCCCCTCCCCCCTTATATCCCATTTTCATTCCTAATTATTCTTATGAATTTGTAATTTAAAAGCAGCGAGAATACGACTTCCTCTTATTATTAGGAAAGGAATAGATTTTTGCAATAATTCTATAAATTTTTTATATATTTCTTCTATTTATTTGATTTTTTAGTTTTTAAAATGAATTCATAGATATATTTTTAGTTTTTAATTAGCGCAGATGATATTTTAATTATTTCTCTTTATATATTTCTTCTTCTTGAAATTCCCCCTTAAAAGTATCCTAGAAATCGAGTCTCCAAGCCGCCCCCCCCCCCCTTCAAGCCTCCTTAATCTTAGATATTTTGATTTTTAACTCTCTCTTATATCTTATCATATTATATATTTTCTTTCTGAAAAATTCTGATCTGAATAATTCTATTTTGAAATTAATTAAATCTGAGCTCGAATATTCTACCAAAGCCTCTCCGCATTGGGAAAGGCCTTGAAAAGATACTCAAAGGAGCCGGCTCGAGCCATGTTGAAACAGCAACCACGGCCCAACATGGTCCCAACAGCTAGCTAGACTACGTTGCCTCAGGATGCCTTACACTGCAATTGTGTCGGGATTGTAGTATTGCTGATAGTTCGGGCTCCTGCAGAAGATTCAGTGGCTTGTTAGCGAGCAAGTGCCGTTCTGGAGCTTAAAGCCCACTCCCTAAACCCTACCACCCTAAACCCTACCACCCTAAA